TAATACTTTTATTCAGCAAGGATGCATTCAATTGATCAGAAGTGAAAGCCTTTTATAAATGTTATAAAAGAAACACGAACAAGAACAAGAAATGTTTCTTTAACACCAAATCGGCATAATAGAATGTTTTCTGAAAGATAATGTGACACTGAAAACTGGAGTAATGGCTGCTCAAAATTCAGATTTCCATCACAGGATTAAATTACATTTTAAAATATATTAGTATTTGCACTGTATTTTTGATCAAATAAATGCAGCCTTGGTGAGCATAAAGGGCTTCTTTCAAAAACATTAAGAAATCTTAATATTTCAGACCACAAATTTTGAACGTTAGTGTATAAGAACTATCAATGCCTCTCTTCTAATATTGGCTCCACCTACCTGTCCACTCAACCTCCTGCTGTTTCTATTGGCTTGTGAATTGGTAGCTGACGAGTCATCATGGGAGGCCGGACCGTCTTGCTCCCGCCCACTTTTCCCCAGTCTACCAGGGTTTGTAGGCTTAGAGATCTGAGAAAGAAAAGCAACAAACCCTCAAAAGACATCACTCAATTCAAGACAGTTTAGCACATTTAGTGAATTGAACGATTATTAAATGCAAATAAAATAAAGGAACAGATGTTTTACAATTGTGGGTCTCACCCTTTCCTCTATGATGGGAAGGGAAATGTCAATGAAGGCTTCCTTCACTGTGGAAATCTAGGAGTGAAGCATATAAACATGTTACACATTACAATTAGTAGTCACTGTATTATAAAAAAAAAAATTGTACTACATATTATATATTGTATACATATTACATTGTATTATAGTAAATTAAAAGGCATATATTATAAATTAAACTGATATGTATACACTTACAATATTGTAACATTTAAAATGCATCATTTTTATTTATAAAATTTAAATTTATTGTAAATAAACGTGAACAATTTATACAATCTGGCTTTGTATGTGGACATTGTACATTACAAAAAAAGAGAAACTCTTACATGTTCACACTCTTCACACATTATGGTGCTGGTCAGCTCTCCGACAAAAATCCGATCGACAAAATTCATTTTCACTCCTTCCTTCCCATAAGCTGTAGAACATTTTAAAATTGATATATGTCATACACAGTATATTTATGTTATTTAAAAACACATTCAAACAACTCAGAACACAAATAATAGAAAATTATTTTTAAAATGATGTTTTCATGTGAATAGTGTCAGTTTTTTTTTTAATCTTGTGAATACAAGCTGTCACTAGATGGCAATATTGTTCTGAATGATGTGAAATGCAGGCGACGGAAACATAGACTGATCACCCTTCACTTGTTGTTTGGTCTCCTCGTCAGCTGTCTTCTCCGTGGGGTTGTTAAAGGCTTTGAGGATGCCTGCTTTAATGCGCTGTCAATGTAAACACAATGTGATGCCACTTTGTTAGATAATGAAGCTCAAACAGTTGCTGTCACAAAAAGCTCCTTTTATCATGCTCAAAATAATAGAGGCACAGGAAAAGTATCACAGCTTGTATCTTTTAATAATGAAAAGTTAACGTTTCAATTAAATAATAAAAAAGAAGGGGAAAAAAACAATGTCAACGTTTCATTCTATGTGAAAAATTACTTGAATTTGACATCTAGAAAAAAATTAAATAAGTCACGGCCATTTTTCCCCTCAGACTTTAAACTCTTCAACCCTTGGATGTGTTCTTTTTTCCTCAGGTTTTTGTTGTGGCAAATAAACCAAAGCAAATGCAAGGCCATGAACACGTGTACGTGATGAAAAGTAAGTGTGTGCTTCACTTATTATACACAGCAACACATGCATTGTATATCCCATGTATGTGTGGGCATAAAGACTTGTGAAGGCGACTGTCCCTGTGGTCTTAATGAGAGGTGACATGGTCAGTGACTGTGT